TCTGATTGAATACTCAAACCATAAACCACCACAACAGCTACAAATATGAGTAGGTCCTTCTTTTATTTTTAACTCATAATTTGATTTCATGACATCAAAGTTATTTTTGTATTTATCTCTATTATTCTGTATTCTCAATGCATTTCTTCTTCTTTCTTCCTCTTTGTATTCTTCCTCTTCACGTTTAATTTTAAGAGCTTCTGCTCTTTTTTTGTTTTCTTCAGTTTTAAATTCATCATCTTGTCGTGCAATTTTTTTAGATTTTGCTCGTCTTCTATTGTCCATCAAACAAAATTCATCGTTAGCTCTTCTTTCTCTCATTCTCTTTGCTATCTCGACATTTCTTTGAGATATAGATCTTCTTTTTAGCTTCGACATTTTTTCGTAAAACAAACTTCTCATGTAGATTAGGGGTGTGTATACACCAAGTACAGCTTCTACTTAGTGAGACACATGTATATCTCTAAACTTGGTGAGATAAACAATGCAAAAGTTTCTTTCGAGCCAAATCTCCGTTAAAACTAGTGAAGATATACTCGATACGAAGTAAGAAACTTTAGAAAATCGAAAGATTAGTAGTCTTTTTTGAACAAAAAATTTAATTAATATTTTTATTATTTATTTGAAAATAATGAAAATCTGAAAAAAGTGAAACAAACTAATGATTAAAACCTTTAAACACAAACAATTCTATTTAGAAATGGAAATAATTCAAGGGGGAAATATCTGACTTCTGTGACTTAAAGTCATTTAGATCATTTTAGATCATTTAGATCATTTAGATCACTTAGATTACGAAAGTCATGAAAAGGCATTGAAATAACTCAGACTATTCGAAAGAGGATGCTAGTTAATACTTATCTAAAATCTGTTGATATGTGAATATATCGAAATATGTTTCGAATAAGGTACTATAACAATCATTCTATCAAAATATACATACGATATAGCTAGTTTTTGATAGTATAAAATGATAGGCTTAGAATCACTCTAAGACATTTCATTAAAGTTTTTAAGCGTGTAATGGTCTATAAAAAGAATCAGTCTTCGATATGGAAAACTTCAGATCATGTCTGGTTACATCTGTCAAAAACATTTACCAGCAACAACGAACGAAAAGCAAGGTTGTACTACATCTAATGGATCTGCAAAGTCATTTTTACTCATCATTCCACCTGCCTTAGAAACCTAAATTCATTCCTATGCGTGACCTCATCCTGTAGGTCAAGTGTTATAACTTATTTGATGAATTTTGTGCGTATTCGTATCGGGAATGTTGGTTTGTGAATTGTACATCAATAATTTTGTTGAAACAGAAATCTGGTAGTTCATATATAGGTAGTCACAAAAGTATTCGGATACTTATGTATCTTGATTTTCGAGGTAGAAACACAAGATATTACTTTTCTTCTTTCGTCAGTAGATAGTCCTCACTTCATAGTAGATTCTCTATAAAAATAAGTAATTTTGATTATCATCTCGAATTACAGGAAGTTTTTCTCACAAAAATGCCTGATTTTTCAGTACGTCCAAAGCAAGACTCTTCTATTTTTCATACGAAGGTGTTCGTTTTTTCAACATCGAAATTATACCATATGCACAACACTAGAACGAGAAAAGCTAGCCCTATCCGTTGACATAATTTTGAAAGTAACAGTAACTTTTATAGAAGAGTCTTGCTCTGGGCGTACTGAAAAATCAGGCATTTTTGTGAGGAAAGCTTCCTGTAATTCGAGATGATAATCAAAATTACTTATTTTTATAGATAATCCAGTATAAAGTGAGGACTATCTATTGGCTAAAAAAGAAAAATAATATCTCTTGTTTCTGCTTCACAAACTAAGAGACACGAAAAAATACGTAGGTGTCCGGTTACTTTTTTGACTACTTGTAGCTTTCTGAAAGTATTAACTGAACTTTAATGTTCTTTTGCTCTGATATTGAATCTTCAAAATATAATTATTTATCAACAACCTAGCACGTAAACGGAATTTACATGAATACGCAATATCTTGAAAAAATAATAATATTACTAGCTCAAAGTTTTCGAGTGTTATCAAGTCCATCAGACGTACCTTAAATTAACGTTTCAAACCTCAGTTTTGGTGGTTCAATATTTTTATAAATAATTACGAATACACCAGAATCCCAGTAAAACAATCATGACTCTCGGTATATAGATTACGGTCACGAATCTTATCAGAATTTTCTTAGCCTCAATTAGTTTTCTCTGACTAAAATATAAGACTGAACAGCGTCCGTACTTGGATTTTGATCCTTTGATGCCGATTATTTTCGCACCACTCAGTTTCTGTAGAATACACGAATTTTTCACGAAGTTTCTTTGAATATTCACATTTTTGTGAGAATGACATGCATTTGGAGTGAATAGACTAGTCAAAATCAAAAAAACAATAATGTCTAATTATTTTTATACTCGTCGTTTGTCTTGACGACGATATTTTGAGCTTCAAAAATATTATGTACATAATAATAGATTAGATGACGTTGCAATCTCGATCTCAAGTATTAAGTATTTTCTTGTTTATGATCATCGATAACAGATAAACCATAGAAAATTATTTCCTTGTTCCAGTAGCCTAACAGAGACTCAACAGTCACAGTGAATATAAGCAGAATCGAAGAGGAAAACAATTGACTTTTATGACTTTAAAGTCATTTAGATCACTTAGATCATTTAAATCATTTAAGTCATAAAGTCAGTTGTTTCCCCCTTGAAATAATTGCTCGACTAAATTCTCATTTGTTTTGTATAGATTTTCTTTTATTTAGTTCAATGTATGAATTAAAACAAATAAGTATTTATGAGAAAAACTTCTTTTTTTATTAAGTATTTTATTAAGTAAAAGATAAATTGTTTTTTTTACAATTTTCTTCAATACAAGATCTTTTTTTTTTAAATTCTTTTGTTTAGCTGTTAAAAATCTTAACAAATGTCATATTGATTATGTTGTTGTTATAAATCAATCGACGATCAACTGGATTTACTTTTTCTTCAAAGCTTCACGAAAAAGCATAGCCCTACAATAGAATACAATTTAATATACATCAAGTCAAGAATAAATTGAGTCGTATTTACAATGTCGACTGGAATAGTTCACCAGATATTTCTGTTTGTTTTGAATCGGTCTCTTTGTTCTTCGGAATTTTAGGTAACTTACGAATGGAATTGATATTTCTCTCGATAATATTAATATTGATAGCTTCATAACCACGAGGAGCTGTAGGACAATGAGATATTATTTATATTGTGACTAGAGTTAAATAACTCACTTTTCATGATGTCAAATCTGCAGGTATCAGCCACGAAAAATTTCTTTGGACGAACCTAATCAATTATTGAAGCTTCTCGTGAGAAAATATCAGGCCATTCAGTTTTATCTTTACTGGAAAATAAATGTAATTAAATATCAAAAAAAAAGGATCATAATTGCCGCTTGATGAAACCAAAGTGTTTAAATCGATTGACGGTAACAAAACTACCTTTAACACCTTTTTCTAATAATAAAATATTCGTTTTAGTTTTTAAATTAAAGATTTATTATCAATGAGAACACGTTCATTATTCTTCGAAAAAAAGAACTTTACTTTTGATATGAGTAGTCGTTCGATTACTCTCAACATTTATTCCTTCATCATTGTCGATAACAACTGTTTCATGACCAGGTGAATTTTCACTATTCGTTGCCATTGATTGATAAGACAAAAAAAATAAATCAAAGCAAGCACGAACGCAAGTATTTTAGTTTTTCTTGTTTTCTAGAAGCTGGATAGTATTCATGTTTTTTTGTTTATCTCCGATTAGTAAGTATTTATATATGAATAATTTGTTTTATTTATGTATATTTCTATAGATGCTTGGTTTCTCGGAAGATGAAATTGCTTGTTTTATTGCATTTATTCGTATTCTTTCATGTATTGCTCAAGTAAATAATGACTGTCTTTCTTATTGTTTATTTAATGAGTATTGGAATATGTTTAGACTCTTCTTTTGGCATGTTTACAAAAATATTTCGGTGCAAAAGAAACTATAATGGTTGGATTATTTTTTCAAATTGTTCAATTAGCAGCATT